TACTATGGGTAGGTATATATATATATATATATATATAAACAGGTTGTTACACACATCATCTGTTATATATATATATATATAAACAGGTTGTTACACACATCATCTGTTACATTTGTACTATGGGTAGGTATATATATATATATATAAACAGGTTGTTACACACATCATCTGTTACATTTGTACTATGGGTAGGTAGGTATATATATAAACAGGTTGTTACACACATCATCTGTTACATTTGTACTATGGGTATATATATATATATATAAACAGGTTGTTACACAAATCATCTGTTTACATTTGTACTATGGGTAGGTTAGGTATATATATATAAACAGGTTGTTACACACATCATCTGTTACATTTGTACTATGGGTAGGTTAGGTATATATATATCAACCGGTTGTTACACACATCATCTGTTACATTTGTACTATGGGTAGGTTTGGTATATATATAAACAGGTTGTTACACACATCATCTGTTACATTTGTACTATGGGTAGGTTAGGTATATATATCTCAACAGGTTGTTACACACATCATCTGTTACATTTGTACTATGGGTAGGTTATATATATATATATATAAACAGGTTGTTACACACATCATCTGTTACATTTGTACTATGGGGGTAGGTATATATATATATAAACAGGTTGTTACACACATCATCTGTTACATTTGTACTATATATATATATATATATATAAACAGGTTGTTACACACATCATCTGTTACATTTGTACTATGGGTAGGGTTATGGGTATATATATATATAAACAGGTTGTTACACACATCATCTGTTACATTTGTACTATGGGTAGGTAAGGTATATATATATAAACAGGTTGTTACACACATCATCTGTTACATTTGTACTATGGGTAGGTTAGGTATATATATATATAAACAGGTTGTTACACACATATATATATATATATATATATATAAACAGGTTGTTACACACATCATCTGTTACATTTGTACTATGGGTAGGTTAGGTTACATTTGTATATATATATATATATAAACAGGTTGTTACACACATCATCTGTTACATTTGTACTATTGTACTATAAACAGGTTGTTACACACATCATCTGTTACAGGTACTATGGGTAGGTTAGGTATATATATAAACAGGTTGTTAAACACATCATGTGTTACATTTGTACTATGGGTAGGTAAGGTATATATATATATAAACAGGTTGTTACACACATCATCTGTTACATTTGTACTATGGGTAGGTATATATATATAAACATATATATATATATATATATAAACAGGTTGTTATCACACATCATCTATATATATATATTGTACACACATCATTTGTTACATTTGTACATATATATATATATATAAACAGGTTGTTACACACATCATCTGTTACATTTGTACTATGTAGGTTAGGTATATATATATATATATATATATATATATATATATAAACAGGTTGTTACACACATATATAGGTTAGGTATATATATAAACAGGTTGTTACACACATCATCTGTTACATTTGTACTATGGGGGTAGGTAGGTTGTATATATATATATATATATATATATATATATATATATATATAAACAGGTTGTTACACACATCATCTGTTACATATGGGTAGGTTAGGTATATATATATATATATATATAAACAGGTTGTTACACACATCATCTGTTACATTTGTACTATGGGTAGGTTAGGTATATATATATATATATAAATAGGTTGTATATATATATTACACACATCATCTGTTACATTTGTACTATGGGTAGGTTTGGTATATATATATATAAACAGGTTGTTACACACATCATCTGTTACATTTGTACTATGGGTAGGTTTGGTATATATATAAACAGGTTGTTACACACATCATCTGTTACATTTGTACTATGGGTAGGTTAGGTATATATATAAACAGGTTGTTACACACATCATTTGTTACATTTGTACTATGGGTAGGTTAGGTATATATATATCAACAGGTTGTTACACACATGATCTGTTACATTTGTACTATGGGTAGGTATATATATATATATATATTGGTATATATATATATAAACAGGTTGTTACACACATCATCTGTTACATTTGTACTATGGGTATATATATAGGTTTTGTTACACACATGATCTGTTACATATATATATATATATATAGATAAACAGGTTGTTGCACACATCATCTGTTACATTTGTACTATGGGTAGGTTAGGTATATATATAAACAGGTTGTTACACACATCATCTGTTACATTTGTACTATGGGTAGGTTAGGTATATATATATAAACAGGTTGTTACACACATCATTTGTTACATTTGTACTATGGGTAGGTTTGGTATATATAGATATCTATATATAAACAGGTTGTTACACATGTCATCTGTTACATTTGTACTATGGGTAGGTTAGGTATATATATATCAACAGGTTGTTACACACATCATCTGTTACATTTGTACTATGGGTAGGTTTGGTATATATATAAACAGGTTGTTACACACATCATCTGTTACATTTGTACTATGGGTAGGTAAGGTATATATATAAACAGGTTGTTACACACATCATCTGTTACATTTGTACTATGGGTAGGTAAGGTATATATATAAACAGGTTGTTACACACATCATCTGTTACATTTGTACTATGGGTAGGTTAGGTATATATATATAAACAGGTTGTTACACACATCATCTGTTACACTTGTACTATGGGTAGGTTAGGTATATATATATAAACAGGTTGTTACACACATCATCTGTTACATTTGTACTATGGGTAGGTTTGGTATATACATATATATATATATAAACAGGTTGTTACACACATCATCTGTTACATTTGTACTATGGATAGGTTAGGTATATATATATAAACAGGTTGTTACACACATCATCTGTTACATTTGTACTATGGGTAGGTTAGGTATATATATAAACAGGTTGTTACACACATCATCTGTTACACTTGTACTATGGGTAGGTTATGTATATATATATCAACAGGTTGTTACACACATCATCTGTTACATTTGTACTATGGGTAGGTTTGGTATATATATAAACAGGTTGTTACACACATCATCTGTTACATTTGTACTATGGATAGGTTAGGTATATATATATAGATAAACAGGTTGTTGCACACATCATCTGTTACATTTGTACTATGGGTAGGTAAGGTATATATATAAACAGGTTGTTACACACAGCATGTGTTACATTTGTACTATGGGTAGGTTTGGTATATATATATATAAACAGGTTGTTACACACGTCATCTGTTACATTTGTACTATGGGTAGGTTTTGTATATATATATAGATAAACAGGTTGTTGCACACATCATCTGTTACATTTGTACTATGGGTAAGTAAGGTATATACATATATATATATAAACAGGTTGTTACACAGGTCATCTGTTACATTTGTACTATGGGTAGGTTTTGTATATATATATATATATATATATATATAAACAGGTTGTTACACACATCATCTGTTACATTTGTACTATGGGTAGGTTTGGTATATACATATATATATATATAAACAGGTTGTTACACAGGTCATCTGTTACATTTGTACTATGGGTAGGTTAGGTATATATATAAACAGGTTGTTACACACATCATCTGTTACATTTGTACTATGGGTAGGTTTGGTATATACATATATATATATATAAACAGGTTGTTACACACATCATCTGTTACATTTGTACTATGGGTAGGTTAGGTATATATATATCAACAGGTTGTTACACACATCATCTGTTACATTTGTACTATGGGTAGGTTTGGTATATATATATAGATAAACAGTTGTTGCACACATCATCTGTTACATTTGTACTATGGGTAGGTTTGGTATATATATAAGTTGTTACACACATCATTTGTTACATTTGTACTATGGGTAGGTTTGGTATATATATATATATATACATATAAACAGGTTGTTACACACATCATCAGTTACATTTGTACTATGGGTAGGTAAGGTATATATATATAAACAGGTTGTTACACACATCATCTGTTACATTTGTACTATGGGTAGGCTTGGTATATATATATACATATAAACAGGTTGCTACACACATCATCTGTTACATTTGTACTATGGGTAGGCTTGGTATATATATATACATATAAACAGGTTGTTACACACAACATCTATTACATTTGTACTATGTGTGAGTTTGGTATTTATGTAACACACATCATCTGTTACATTTGTACTATGGGTAGGTAAGGTATATATATATATAAACAGGTTGTTACACACATCATCTGTTACATTTGTACTATGGGTAGGCTTGGTATATATATATATATACATATAAACAGGTTGTTACACACAACATCTATTACATTTGTACTATGTGTGAGTTTGGTATTTTAAAGTGTTGACTACATTCCGTTGTATTTCGGATTGCTTGTATGACATCGACATTTGTAGAAGTTACATGAATGGTATTTTGGACAAGAGATCTCTATACCACAGAGTGGTGTGCAAAGGGTGTTAATATTGTCATTGATACGTTACGGCGCATGCCTGCAAGGATCCGGTCATTATGTCATTGCCCTTTGCTTTGTGGTTCTTTAGAACATACTGTTATGTGTCATATAATGTCGATTCAAATATATAACATAAATGTATGATTTTTGGTTCACTAGTACACACGAACAAGTGACGTGCCATGACAGTAGGCCACTGTCCTTCACCTTCACGGGCGTTATTACGCTTTGTGCCAACCGAAGTCCGAGATCTACGGCCATTACTATGGGTACTGGTCAGTGATGTGGTCAAACGCATATAGTACCAAATGCCTACTTAATTGGTTGTGATTGACCAAGTTGTTGTTGAGAGAGTGATAAATGATAAGAACGATTTCTATATGTAAATTTATGGCCAGTTAACAAATGGTAAGGACAATTATTTTTTCAGTAACCACACAGACAGCAGGCATGGCTAGTTACCCACAACCAGCACCAGAACAACCCGGTTACCTTAACCCTCCCGAAGGTCAGTTTGGCACTGTACCGCCCCCTGTAGGAACTTACGCACCTCCGACGCAACCTACATACCCCACGGGTACACAGCCCTACCCTCAACAGGCCCCACCATACAACCTAGGGAACACGTATGACCCTAACACAGCCCCTATGGCAGGAGGAGGTGCCTACACAAACCAGGGATTCCAGGCCCCACCGTCATATGACACTGTTACCTCAGGGAAGCAATGATACCAGGAGAAGAGCTGCTGGAAGTCAATCAAGACAGTGACATAAGAAGCGGGGTACAGAGAGCAACAACTGCCCCGCCTAGCTTTTAGAGTGAGAAGGCACACATATCTCCCTTCGACCTTTTGTCATTTAAAGTTTTTAAAAACTATATATTTAACAAAGAATCTTAACTTTCGTTTTTCTGGAGTTTAAACTATCTATATTTCCGCCAAGAAACTAAATTTGTAAATCATATTGTTTTATGCGGCATGACTACAAACCATGCGACTTATAAAGCTAAACTAGAAAACCAATATTATAACGAACATTCTACGTTCTCGTGGTAACAGTGAATATGATTATTTTATTATTTATGCCCGATTGGTGGTATTCAGCCGGTTCGGTTAGTCTTTTATACTACTTTTATACGTAACGGTACTCCATAAATTGGAGATGTTGAAATTTTGATCATTACCGTATGTTACTTAATGTATTGGCTTATTTCGTGGAAGTTACATATGATTCGCTCGGCGTTACAGTTTTAGGCTTTTTTACCCAAACTCCAACGAGAAACTTTATGTTGATTCCCCATAGTTACTTCCCTTCGTTTCACTCGGAAAGCACGTGTTATGGGGAAAAGCTTCACAGCCAATGGGGCAGAGAATAGCTATCACATATTTAATTAATTACAATAATTAATAATTGTATTGTATTGTAATTAATCAATTATGATAAACGACAACTGTTGAAGCCGTGTGACCTGTCCGTTATATCTATCTATATATATACATATCGTATACAGATTAGGTTTGGTGACCAAGATGGTAGGAACGACAACTCTTGGTAGATTTTATTATTCCCAAAATTATTTAAAACTGACAGAAAAACTCAATGATGTCAGTTTTTTAACATTGTCTTTTGCGAAGATTTTTTGCGAATTTCATTTCCATCATATCAAATTGGTCGCATATTTCGTCGACTTTAAAATTGTGTTTTGCTTTTATGTGTACATAAAATGTACATGTTATGAGACACAAACTACCAAGACTTTATTTAACTTGTAGTCACCAGTTGTCGAGTTTTACTTTCTGTATTTTTTAACGATTTGTACTAAAGTTAAGAGATTGTACTCCATTTTAAAGATCATATTTATGTATATATTTTATGCTTTTTCTGAACGACATTTTCATGAGAAAACACATTTTGTTTCCTCTGTTACTTTTTTTCATGTCCTGTCTTTGTTTTAGCTTACGCCAATTTTAGATAGATAAAACTCGACCAATTTTCTGTGAACGAAACTTTGTCTGTTAATATTGACAATTGAAGCTGACGCTATGAGCGAAGATCAATCGTGTTTTCATTTCTCTTTCAAGATCGCTATGATTTTTTTTTTTCATTTTTAATCGTGAAGGTCGTTCCATACCAACACCGTTTGCCTGGTATGAAAATTGCTGTATTATGCTATGAAGGAGCATTATTATATTGAATTAACATGAATTAGCTAAAGCTATTATCGGGGGTTGGGGACAACGTTAGGGGCGGTATATCAAGATCCGACACCGTGTATATATTTTCTAAAAAAAAAAGTTCATAACTAGTGCTTCATCTCCGTTATTACTACATATATAGATCTATTGATATTTTGTGTAATTTTGCAAATGCTACCGCTTAATATTTTGTGAATAAACATCTTGTTTCGAACGTCTTATCTTCATTTATATTTTCATTTCACATGTTTCATATTTTACCTCAAATCACATTTCTGTATACATACTCAAAGTAAACAAACAACTATTAAGTTTGTTTATTGGAACGTTATCTGTAGACTGAAATGTAGAAGATAAAAATGGCTTTGGGGAAATGCTGCATTTACACGTGCTATGTAATTAACCATTAGATATTAGTAAATAAAATCGTTATATCGAAGAGTGTGTTTCGGTAAAAAGGTGTGTGTGTGTGTGTGTGTGTGTGTGTGTGCGTGCGTGCGTGCATTCACTAGTTCAGCCACGGACTACCCTATAATTGGACAGACGACTGTTGGTCAGACTGAGGTCGAATCACGCGGTTTCACGCCATATCTCGTTGATGAAAAAGTCGTTGCTTCTTCAACTCAAGACCACGAATGTGCCGTTCTTCATCTTTCCTTGGCTGTGGAGCAGGCGCCTTATGTTTCAATAATCCAATTTGTCTTTTATTTTATTTAAAATGTATTGTGTTGCTAACCCATAACTCATTAGTTTGAGAAATCTAGGCGCATATTCTCGCTGATTTTTTGTCGACGTGATGACGTGAACTACTGAACCATATGATATAATCACTTGAACCTATATCTGAGTTCGTAGTTCAACGTCAGAAACATGTCCACATAAGCATACTTACAATTCTTGATTCCCCACCCGAGTCATGCCATGTAAACACAAGTTAAAATATGGTTAAAATATACGATTGACAAAAGTGAATAATGATATCATACAAAAGGTATATCATTTTTGCCAACCGCTGTGTAGGTGAAGCTTAGCCCATTTTGACGTACGTCTGAAGCAGGGACTACGCCCCTGGTCTGAAGTGAGTCAGCTCCGTTTGTCGTCTGTAACATTTCGATAGTTATACTAATGTTATATCGACTATTTGGTCAACCATTAACCTGTTCATTTTGTAAACTACAATAACCTGACTGTGCATACTCGTAGTTAAACCCACTGATGGCGATCTACGTACTTCTTGTCAAAGTCATGATAATTAATATAACACGTTTTTGAGCTACCTTTTATTTTTTAACTGTCTTATTTAGTGTAAAGTTATCAACTTTCCCTACTTTCAAAATACGATTTTTATATCCATTATGCTTTTTTTCCAGTTCCACTGGTGCCATTGGGCTAAAAGTTGCTGAGAATGTTAAGGAAAGGTAGCCAACAAAAGTTTCGCTATTTTTCGACCTTGCCATGGCAGCCATGGAGGCCATTTTGTAACATGATTGCGCAATCATGGTTTTCCACTGCAACATCCATTTCAAACTTCTCAAGTTTCACCAGTTGGATTGAGCTCCAACTTTAATGTCAAAAAACATGCGACACTTGTTACAGTTAAATACTGCTCACCAAAACTACCATCTGCATCAGCTACTTACTAATATTTCATTCAAAGTAGAAAAAATAACCCTTCTCCCCGCTGAATCTTTGTAGTTAAATGACCGTTAAAACCCGTGGGCTTCTTGTTTCCCAAAATGGCTTCAACGACGTAATACCCAATCAACGTAAATCGGTTAGAACGATGTTACAATATACGAAATTCAACCGTATTCAGATTCTTCTCGCACGAGACTGAAAGACACGAAGATGTCCGATTTTCCCTTGAATCGTGTACTAACAAACATGTATGTACTTATATGATGTTTAATTGATAGGAGAAATAAGCAGTGTACTTAATAATATTTTATTCATTTTGGCACAATGTGGATGTATACGTAAACATACATTTTCTTACAATCTCTACAAAGTTTCTTTACACAACATTCACAAAATAAGGTGACCATTCCATATAACGAAAATCATTGATTAAATCCATTTCTCTTGTCATCTATAACCGGAAATTTGATTGTTTGGCGACGCAAAGCCGGATAAAGAGTTATAGCTAGTTGTCATTGGTTGAAATCTCGTATAAAAAGGCACATGTTGTCCCGCTGGGAACATCGGTGACTGGGGACTAATTGTTGATAAAGGAGAACTTGGAATGTCATCATCTCTCATCATTTGTTGGTGTTTGTTGCTGATTGTGTACGGCGGCGGACAAGGTATTCCGAGTGCCTGTAACTGAGAGATATCAACGCCACCTGTTGGTAATGGCATACTTCCCGGAAATGATTCATCCTTTCTTTTCCGCTTTTCTTTCATTCTCCTATTTTGAAACCAAGTTTTCACCTGTGAAAACAAATGTATAGCATAATGGTTAGTTTTAAAAGTTCACAATTTTTGAAGATGAAATATTGTGAAGGATTGCTACCGTGAAGCGAACATCGGGATTTCCATTCGTACTCTACATTTTACTGACAGTAAACTTATCCGTGTACTTAAATGACATGCTGTGTTAAACATTGAATTGGTTTCGTTGTCAAGAAGTGAGAAAGCAAGCATATTAGTATTGTAACAACAGAGACAAAGTTCAACTATTGAATGTTAATGCAAAACGTTTTCAGTTTTCACGTTTTAGTTACTAAATGTACTGGCCAAGGTTTCGCGTTGATCAACAAATATGCTTTATCTCCAGTAAGGTTTACACGGAAAGATACACATGTACATGTATACATACATTTCTTCAGAGGGATAGAGAGAAATAATGATATATATTCCAATAACATGTTATCTTAGTGAGCATTTTTAGATCATAGGATTCGCAAAAAAAAAAATGCATAATGTATATATGTTTATCTAGTGGTTTTGCCGGTTTTAACGGCTCGTGTGTTGACGGCCGTTAAGAATGTTATAACAATAATAATAATAGCATGCATATTTATAAGCTGCCTTTACCTCGCCATTGATGATTTTGTTGGTTATCTATAGTTTATCTCCGTGACAATGTCTAGATGATGTACAAAGGAGGTAACTAAAGTACGATCTTACAATATTGTTGGGGAAGTTACCAGTAATTCTCTTCTGCTTATCAATATTTCCTTTATTCAGTTTGGATAAAAAGTATTAATCTGTTATTGAAGTTACCTGTTGATCAGTCAGTTTCTGTTCTCTGGCAAGTTTTGACCTCTCACCAGCCGGTAGATATTTCTGTGTTACATATCGTCGCTCCAACGCCTCAATCTGTTCGTTTGAGAATGCCGTTCTGGCTTTCTTTTGGCGCGGAGTTTCACCAAAACCTTCATCACAATCTGAGAAAAAAAAAATCTGATAAAAACCGTAAAACATAGTCACGGACTTAGATTTTGCATATCTAAATCCGTGATAGTCCGTCATAGGTCCGTTATTACTGTTATCGGGAATCGACACGGGCAAACGAGGACTATAACAAAACTGCATTGTTTCTTTAAAATAGAGTCTGTTATTTAGGTTTGTAAGGAAAAGTTTATTGTTTTTTTTTCAATTTGAAATACATTGTATCAGAAATAATCGCATTTATGAATTCATTATACTATAGTTTTCATATAAACTTTCATAAATATATATGTAATTACAAAATATACGACACTTACCTGAAGTCAGACAGACAGATTCGAAACTTGAATTTATTACACTTTCATTGTGAACCTGCTTTGTAGCTCTACTTTGAATGTTTTCATCAACATCTACATCAATGCGTTTACGCTTCACAGACTTCCCGGTTACAGATGGAGTGTTTTCGTGCTTAGTAACGTTGCGCTTGAGCTTATCACAGCTTCCAGATGCAGGTGTGCTATTTAAGGAGGAATATCCATCGTCGGGACTGAGTCGGAATGTGTCTCTCATGTTTCCAATTGGAGAATGAAACTGTACAGGAGAATTACATGACAATGATGGTTCATTCTTTGTAATATACGGACTAGTATGGACACTTGTGACGCTTTGCCACGGATTTCTGTTAATGAAATACATTTCGTTTGTGTCCCCGTCATGATTTTCCGTCCGGCTGCTTTTCGCTAGATTTTCAATGGTAAATGTTATTTTCTTATTGTTTGTAACCGCCATTTCATGTCACTCTTTTTGAGGTTTTCAGACAAAATAAACACAAAATTAGAAAAGATCGTTTTCACAATAGAAAAACTGTTAAACAGTTTTCAAATATTTCCAGTGGCACAATAATAATATGAAATCTCTGAAAGGTCTCCACTCACTGAATGACAGAATAATTTTAAACTCAACCTTTGAGCGACATCCTATTTATACGCCTAATTTCTCAGGTGTCCAAATAAGGTCGCGCTGACCTCATTGTCACCTTTTTGACCATTTGTCACCAATGTTGATTTGTGATAACTGTAACAACACAAGCCCAATAGTTCTTTCAAAAACCTGTTCGAGTAGAGTGTTGAACCAAGTTCTCGTTGTTATCTTAATTAATTAGTCGATAGTAACCTCTAATTGCGATCTGTGAAATCCATCCACCTGGTGTCGAACGGTAATTATCGTTGGCCGATCCGGGGCATTTGTGTTGTTACTGTGAGGGAACGGACGGTATTTAACAATGGCTAATCATCGTTAATTGCAATTGAGCCCAACACCTAACCAACTTTGTTCAATAGAGATCGTTGACACCATATCTGAGCACTTCGTTGATATCAACATATACAAGTCTATTTTTCGTATTCATCACAATCACTAACATCGTGTTTAATCCCTACCTCTGGAGAAAGAAAATTAACACATTTTTAATAGTAGATAGTCTAGCTTAGACTGAAAGCTCTGTTGGAGTTGATACGTCACATTATGTACTAATCCAAATATTGATGAGAATTATGCTACAGGTAAGTTTAAGATATCTAGATTATTTTTGGAAAATGTGACAAAGGAAATAGATAATATGGGGATTAGTAAGTGATTCTGTTTAAGAATTGAACCATTATCAACATAATCTGAATGATTCAGTAAATTCTATGATATGTATGTAATTATGGATGGAGTTTGTACATTTCTCTTTATGGGTAAAATAATCCATTAGTTGATACAAATATATCAAAGGAAACGAGTTTCATCAAAAGCAATGGACTTGTACATAATCTAGGCCATAGACACTGATAATTTATCGATTAACTGATTTTTTTTGTAATCAGCGATTGATGTTGGTTTAAGATTATTTACATCAAAGAAAACGATTACATTTTTACTTTCTTTGATTACTAATATTTTGTTATGAAACCCAGGAAAAGTCCATCAAATCAAGACATAACAAGGATTATTATCGATTTTTTTTATTTCATTGAAACCGACAGATTTAAGATTTATTTACTTAATTAAAGTATTTTATATAATTTTCTTTTATAAATATGAAACCAAATAAATATGTACACCAAGAAAAGTTTAAAGATTGTCGTTTTACTTTAGTTTAAGTCAGTTATTGAATTTTTGCTCTTTACTAGATGTTATTACAAGCATATTTTTCAAATGTTTTAGGAAATACTGATTTCATAAGGAAAGACTGTTTTTCGAGGAAAACGATGGATAATTGATGTTGATATATTGATTTTGCATTAATATCAATATTGATTTTTTCACCAATATTTTTTAAGTACTCTAAATTCCAATCTAAAACAAACAACGAGAAAAATTTATTACTGATCATTACTTTACTTTCAATCCATGAAAATCAGGGATGTATAATGTTCTTTATGTCCCAGATCAATACCAAACAGTATATTTTTTTAAGAACACAGTTTTGTATAAATAATAACATCAGACTACAAACTATTTACTCTTTACCAGTCACTGAAATCGGATTCTTGGTTTGTTGATGATATTTGTCTATACTTTATCTATTACAACAGAGACATTTCCGTCGGTTTGAGCAGTGAATGACGTCACCTTAGTGATGATCTGACTTAAGCTGCTAGATGCCGCTTATTGTTTCTATCAGGAAGCTGAAAAAACGGACCCGTATGCACTGATATGTTTTTTGCCACTTTGTTCAATTAAATCTCTGTCATTTCCGCGAGTCCATGATTCAATCTTGCCACCTGATTGCCGGTAAAGACTGCTGGTAGATCTAGACACCAAACTCGACGAAGATTTTGTCAACCAGAAAATCATATTACTGACACGGCCAAGTTTGCTTTTGGAAGAAAGACACGTACTGATACTTATACAGTAAGGTCGTCCTTTACTTTTGTTTAGAAAAAGACCATGGTTTAAGCATGATTGTAAAATCAGAAGGCAGGGCTGTAGAAAAGCTTAGCGTCCTTCAAGCGCTATGGTGGTGACATTTTAAAGGTACATCAACAAACGAATTATAAATGTATACTTCAAGTACATAAAAGCGAAAAAAATGAAAAGGCTGAAAAGTTTAATCTGTAAGAGATACTGAATGACACGGCCGCACTGTATGAATGTTCTACAACGTTTATCAGCTGTTGAATTTCATGTTAGGGACAGTGATATGGCGAACCACTTTATCAATGATAGAACTACTGCCAATAGAAATGATTTCAACTTTAAAATTATTTAAAAATCAACATGTCAAGCAGTTATCCTAAATAACCAAAATACTGTCGACCGATTATCGTTCTTAGCTGTTGTGATTAAGTTGACTTCCTTGCCCTCACTCCCACCCTAAACAAACAAGACAATACGACGAAAAAAAAATCCATAATCGATATAATTTTCTTACATCACGCTATCATAAATTTTTTATTCAATAAAAACAATCAAGCTTTACTTAATAGATGACAAAAGAGTAAATAAATTTAAGAAATTTTGACGAATATTGTGCTCGTAGTGTAGAGACAATAAACAAAAGGACTGTTAAGTATAGGATTTTATTAATGTGTACATGTCATATTTTAAATTTGTACAAAAATCTATACTTTATTGTATAGTGAATGGAGACCTTGGTTGATATCCATAGCTTATTGAAGAATGACCGTATATATATTTATCAAAAAGTTAAAATTCGCAGTGACCGGTACATATACACTAAATGTAAAGTGTCTGAAGATTTGCTGTGAAAGCACTTCACTAATGTTAGGTGTTTCCAAATAGATATGTTTACTGTATTCTCTACTGAAGAAAACGATTCACCATGAAAATACTTTTAAGAAATCGATGAAAGCGGGTTTACCAACGTATCACAAAACCCTATTGATTTAAATATTTTTCATAGAAGTTTTGTTTTCTACAATCATTTAATGTGATATTGGAAAATTAACACGAACATCTCTAAATGTATAAACCACAAGATGTTTAAAAAAGAATTGAAACCTAAAAAAATATCTTATGAAATTATCAATAAGAACACATATAATTATCAAAGTTTAGAGTAGGTAATTTTGGTCTCTCCATTTCCAAATGAAACTTGCGGACGAATAGAGGAAAGGAATACAAAGTCTGTGTGTCTTGATTTCCATTACCTATTTAAATATCGGAATCAAAGGCTGTTATGTGTACAAAACTGAAATTTTTACTTTCACTCTCCATAATGTAATAGACAAGTTTGTATAATTTTTCATAATTTGATTAATTATGCAGATTGCCAGCGCCTGGCAACCTGTGTAATTCTCTGACTATTGAAAAAATAAATAACCAATGCGGGTAACCTATTGTACCATATATTGTGAGTTCTCAACAATTATGTTATCAGGTTGTGAGAATAAATGAAATAAATGGATAGATGGTTAACTCCCCTATCGACTTTCTGCTCTATCTGAAGACATCATATTCTCAGCCAATTTCGGCGCTAGCGATCCCATACAGAACTAAACAAAGGGCAGTAACTCCGGGAAATCAGACTGAGACAGTGTGAGAGTCTTTGTTCGCAAGGTTCACACCTTTGTGGTACATAGCCGGGCTGAAGGCGGAGTTGGAGTCATTTGTTTTGATTTACACTCCCTTCCTACATCGTAGTGTGCTGATGCCAGTGTGGGATGACTATATCCATCCTGCGGAGATCGCTAGTGTTGGGATGGAAGAGACTAGATTTGTTTAACCTAACTGCCTTACACATATATCCTAAGTATGTGATAAACATACCCTTGCCACGTAGGCTTAATCTGAAATGTTAATTTATCATATTTTCATACCTTCATACAGATGATAAGATGTATGTGTTGGGCCGAGATGGACGGAATGCTTACCATTCGACACTAGTTGTCCTCTTCCCACATCCCTAGAAACCCAATGCATCACGTACTCAGCCAACTAAAAACAAAAAGAACTTTTGCACGGAGAGAAATATCACTTACGTGTACATGTACTTTGTGTTGTATGGGAATCACAATGGATTAGAGAAATAATGATACTAATGTCGTCCCCCAAACTATATCTACTGATTCAGTACACAAATTTGTAATTATAATTAAGGCCGTTATCATAAATATTACAAGCTTTAGACAAACATACATACAAATTGAAAAGGAGTCAATCCCGAGTGTCAAAAGTGACGTTGGGGCGTCTAAGTCGAATCCATAAACACATGCTACATCTATTTTATACAATTACATTATGCTGTCGCCATTAGATCAATTCTATCCACCGTCCGCAATAGATTTTATGTTAGCAATGTCCGTATGTTGCAACGGTGGTTACCAGTGCTGATTCAAAGCCATGAAATATTGGGAATTCGTAATCATTAATATCGGTTTATTGAGCTGATGGTACTATACATTGTTAAATACATCGTTTGTGTTCCGATTTTGAATACTGAATTCTGAGTCGTCATCGATCAAATCAGATCCAAATTGCATGTCCATCCGATTTTATAATAGATGTTTCTCTCAGACTGAAGCTTCACAAAAGTGATTTAATTATACAAGTTCTTGTGGCGGGTATATGTCGATTACAACAATGAGATAGCTGTGATTAGTTTTCGCATGAATAATGTGTTATGTCATCAAAACGAAATTAGAAAGTAAGAAGGAATGACATTTCATAATGGCGTAAATATTTCATATTGAATTGGAGCAGGACATGATAAAATTAATAGGCGGTGAAAACTGAGAGGAACGCCATAATTTTGATAATAAGTATTTGTTGTTTCTATCGAA